CTCTTTCCCCATGATAGATTGCCTGTGCCGGGCAATTCACCAATCAGAGGCTTCTCATCGATTGTGTTATTCCTATGCTTTCCAAAAAGCTGTATTGCAGCTAATTAAGAAGGTGGAAAGGCTGGCAGGTGCTCGCCCAGCAGTCCTTCCACTTCAGTTCGCTCTAGAGCTAACAGATGCAGAATAAAGGCAGACGAAAAGTGATAGACAGGGAGGTTTTTCTTCCTCTAATTATAGTGTGCCAGTTTCTGTTTAAATCAACAATTTTATAAAGTGTCACAAATATGACAGACGACAGGCTCCAGACAAATAAAACACTTTTAGCAAGCTGAAGTGCCTTACATGTCTGGAGTGTTCCTTCAAGTCAATACAGCTGGTACCCTTATGGTATTGCCACAGAAGTAGAATGCAGCCGCTGGCTGCTCATGTTAGTGTGCCCTGGTAGATTCACGGGTCAGAACGAGTCTTCGTAAGGAAGCTAATAAATAGTATTAAAGCTGTTTATTTAAATTTAGTCCCAATATTCCGTGACAGAACTTCTCAATACTGTATATCATTGGACATATACCATAGTTAGGATTCTGAGAACCACCTCACCTAGAAGCTATCATGTTTTCTGCAGATGTACCTGAAGAGCTGTGCCTCACCACCATTTAGGATACTGGACCCTCACTGCAAGGGTTAAAACAGGTTGTTTAGTTACCTTTTTTTACCTGCTGGTGTTCTCCATGAAGCTCTGCCACTTTGGCTGAGACTATTGAGAATGATAATCTCAGCCAAATCAATCCACTGCAGTAAAGCATTTGGAGGCTAGTGCACATGCTACTACATATATGAAACCTATAATGACAGCCACTACGGGTAGGTTAACCCTGCAATGAAAAACCTATGGTTCCTGCAGAATGGCCATGTTTCCAGCGACATCATTAAAACGAGAGGTACGTCTCACCCTTAAAAACTCATACACTTCAGGACAGCATTACAACCGTAAAGTCAGTGTGTAGGAAGTCAGGGGCACTCTTTGAGGTGGCTTTGGCACGCTGGTTGAAAATTGCAATGATGAACGAACCTCTTACTATCGAGTAATCTCAGTCTAAGGCATCTCATCTAAAAAAGGGACAAGATCAACTGCCACAGTCATCTTCAGCCAATTCCCTGGAGGACCAAGGCAACATCCTCAATCTTTGAGATAAGTAGACATGATGGCAGTGATACTAATTTCCATAGCCATACAATGACAGTGTTAGCACACAACTGTTAGTATGTCAATGGGCAGGACATTTTTACATTAACAATAACAGATTTTTTTTTTTTTTTTAGTTTTTAATGATTGTAAAAATAAGTTCTATCGAAGCAAAACAATATTCTGGCATAACAGAACATAACAATATAGTTGTGTTATCCCATTAAACAGAATAATGCAGAATGCTTTTGTGTGATAATACAAATGGAATTCCAGTCCTTATAAAGCAGCCATGTCATGGATAGTCTAAGGAAACACAGATGTATTAACATCAGATATGCAGAATGTTCAGCGAGCTGTTTCAGTTCACGAACATATAAACATTTCTATAGCAATTGTATAATGGGAATTTCTCTGAAATGATTGCTGCTAGAGGATTACCTTCATAACAGTATAAATAGAGATGCAAACAGCATGAGTGAGAAATACAGAAAAAGAGCAGATTTCTTGGTAAATTGTAACATAAATTCAGCTTTTGGACCAAATTCTATTCCCTGCGATTTATAACATTTTGTCTGTTTTGCTATTCTATTCAGGGCCGGTGCAAGGATTTCAGCCACTCCAGGCAAAGATCCATTTTGTCGTCCCCTTATGTCACTCCCTCACTGACAGACACACACTGGCAGACACACACACACACTCACAGACACACACACTCACTCAAAGGCATACACTAACTCACTGACACACACACACACACACACACACACAGACACTAACTGACATACATACACTCACTCCCTGACAGACACACACACACACACACTCACTGACAGACACACACACACACTGACAGTCTGTAACAGTCACCTGGGGACTTATGGAACAGTTTACCAGGAGTTGGAGCCCAGTTGCAGGAGATGGCCCAGGAAGGAGGCAAAAAATAAAAGCGCAGTACAGATTAAGGGGAAATCCAAAGGCAGGGTCAGACGAGAAGCAGAAGCCAGGGCTGGCAGCGGAGTAACGTAGTCGGTAAATCAGGCAGAGGTCAGAGTCCAGGAAATCAGTCAGTAACATAGCAAAGATCCGGCAGGAAACACCAAACAGGCAAAATGACCAGATACTAGGTTTCAGGCAGGGCTGGCTTTTACAGCCTGCTAATTAGGTGCGGCTAACCCTAATTGGAAAAGGGCTGCAGGTGGATCAATGCTGCTTAATTCAGGCAAACACTCAAACATTCACCTCCCTGGGGTCCAGTGTGGGGCAGCCCGCTGTTTAGTATGCGGGGACCGTAATGACGTCATAGTCCGGCTCCCAGCATCACAGATAAACACATTGACATATACATACAGAGATGCACACCCTGACACACAGATACACTTGATACCTCCAAAAATGCTCCAGAACTGCTGAACGCTGTTGGAGAAAGTCTCACTGTGCATCTGACTTTCTCCACTATAAATTTATGCTGAGTTCATACATCTTGGCTCTTTCCTCTGCAAAAGTTAATTACTTCAATACCCTCATAACCAAGCTCTCCCGTGAACCCAAACGACTATTTCACACATTTAATTCTCTTCTTCGCCCTGCTGTTCCTCCTCCACCTACTAACTTGATCTCCTCAGACTTTGCAACTCACTTCACTGACAAGATCTCTACAATCAGAGTAGAGATATCTCATCTTTCTTCTTCCCCTTATAATACTTCCCCTAACTTCACTTCTTCTGCTGTTCTATGTTCATTCGCACCCGCTACATTGGTAAGAAGTTTCTGCTCTGCTCCAGTCCTCCCGCCCCACCACCTGCTCCCTAGATCCAAATCCATCGCATCTCATCCGTACTCTGTCTTCTTCTCTTTCTCCACCTCTCACTAAAATTCTCAATCTCTCTCTCTCCTCTGGTATATTTCCATTGTCCTTCAAACATGCAACTGTAACCCCAATTCTAAAGAAGCCCAATCTTGACCCTAACTCCCCATCCAACTATCGTCCTATCTCGCTACTGCCTTTTGCATCCAAGATCCTTGAAAAAATTGTGTATGCGAGATTGACAGACTTCCTCGAGTCCAACTCTCTGCTAGACCCGCTTCAGTCTGGTTTCCGCGCTAAGCACTCTGTGGAAACGGCACTGACCAAAGTATCCAATGATCTACTTGCTGCAAAATCTTGTGGTCACTACTCTATCCTAATTCTCCTTGACCTGTCTGCGGCTTTTGACACTGTTGATCATCAACAGCTTCTTCTCATCCTCCGCAATATCGGTCTACAAGATACTGCTCTCGTGGTCCTCCTCCTACCTCTCCCAGCGCTTTTCTTTCTCTGGCTCTGCTTCTTCTCCCCAACTCCTCTCTGTTGGTGTCCCCCAAGGTTCAGTCCTTCGTCCCCTACTGTTCTCCATCTATACTGCCTCCCTTGGTAAACTATTAGCTTCCAATATAATTTCTATGCAGATGACACCCAAATCTACCTGTCTTCTCCTGATCTCTCCCCGTCCCTCTTGACTAGTGTCTTTGACTGCCTCTCTGCTGTTTCTAACTGGATGGCTGCCCACTTCCTTAAACTAAACTTGACCAAAACTGAAATTCTGGTCTTTCCTCCCTCAAGTGTTGTTACTCCTGTGTCTGTCTCCCTCCAAGTCAACGGTGCTACCATCAGCTCCACCGCGCAGGCTCACTGCCTATGTGTTCTCTTTGACTCCGACCTCTCCTTCAAGCCTCATGTTCAATCTATCGCCAAATCCTGTCATTTCCATCTAAAAAACATTGCGCGCATCCACCCCTACTTAACGCCAGATGCGACTAAGGTGTTGGTCCATTCCACTGTCCTTTCTTGCCTTGACTACTGTAATCCGCTTCTCAGTGGTCTTACGTGCTCCCAACTAGCGCCGTTACAGTCCATAATGAATGTGGCGGCAAGGCTAATCTTCCTGTCCGCACGTACCTCCCATGCCTCACCCTTCTGTCAATCCCTACATTGGCTTCCTATAAAATATAGAGCTCAATTTAAAATTCTGGTTCTTGCTTTCAAATCTCTACATAATGCTGCTCCCACCTATCTATCCTCCCTTATACACAAGTATGTCCCTTACGATCTGCTGAAGACTTACGTCTATCGTCTGTCCGTACTCCCACCTCTGATGCTCGCCTTCAAGATTTCTCGAGGGCTGCACCGTTCCTGTGGAACTCGCTTCCCTCCTCCGATAGATGCTCACCCAGTCTCCACTCCTTCAAAAAATCGTTAAAAACCCACTTCTTCATAAAAGCGTATCCATTAAACTGTTAATAGCTCCTGACTGATTCCTCTTCTGCAACTGTCATTAGTCTAATACTATCCTTACCTTTTTGTGTCATTGTACCCCACTCCCTCTAGCATGTAAGCTCATTGAGCAGGGCCCTCAACCCCTCTGTTCCTGTGTGTCCAACTTGTCTGGTTACAACTACATGTCTGTTCGTCCACCCACTGTAAAGTGCTGAGGAATTTGATGGCGCTCTATAAATATTATAATAATAATAATAATAATACAACCACACCCACAAATGCACACATCTTGAAACATGCACATCCTGACACATGCACACAGCCTGACACAAAAACACACAGACATACACAGATGCTAAACAAATACACACCTTGACACACAGATGCACGCACACACATACACAAACCTTGACACAGATACACACAATCTGATATTCACATACATTTCATAATTTTAATTTTTGCAGCCACCTTCCTGTTACCCTACCTTTTGTATTCATGAGGGTGGCTTGCTTGGGGTCCTACTGCTAGCTGAAGTCAATGGGCTACTGGCTGAGGTCGATAGTCTTGCTCCACTCCAGAAAACACAAAGAAGTGTGCAGCGCAAGGAATAAATGAGACACTCTTATAGGTGTATATCACATCCCTTAATACATGCAGTGCAATGTACAATATATTGATGTAAAGTGATGAAGTAAAACAAATATATATACCCCAATGGAGATATATTAGCATAGATATTCCTAAATAATGAAACAAAAGAAAGAGACTCTCATAGGGCAATATTGCAGTAATCTCCTCAAAGGTAAAAAGCATACGATGGGCAAAGCCAGTAAGGTAAAATAGTAAACATTTATGTGGCGGAACCAACCTCGCCACTGTACACTGGAGAAGCCTGGTTGCTCGCCTGCTCCCTTTAGATTATGGCCCAGCAGTTCAGAGCTGTTATTTTCCCTGCTGAAAGGTTTATTCGTGCCTTTCTGCCAGGGTGTTCCATCTACCGAACAAACTACCGAACGATGGACCACCTGGGAGCTGGAGTGTGCCGTCAATTGACCACCCAGAAGCTGCGGTTAACCGCAGCTTAATTGATGAACGCTGGGTGGCCTTTGTTCGTCTGCCGAACACGTGGCAGCGGCCATTTTACCTCCCGAACGGCCAGCGGTGTTCAGCGCCCAAACTATGGAACTGAAAACGGACACTTATTGGCGCGAACACCGCTGAGCCGCCAGCCTCCTTACCTTCCCATTCGGTAAGCAGAACCGAATGACTGTTCATTCGGTAGTTTCGCCGGATGAACAGCATCCCCCAGATAGCTAAGCCATGGAGCCTATTCGTGTAACGAAAGACTATGGGAAAGACTTTGGCTCCATGGCGATTGAACTGTATGTATGTGATCTGAGCGCCATTCGGTAGTAATGTGCGCTCAGATCTAAGCTATCTGGGGATATGTAGAATGTATATGTTTTAGGTAATAAATGTGGCTGTATGTAATTTTATGTATTTTACTGTATTGTTACTGCCATGTGGTTAATGGAGTTTTGCCTCTGTCCTGGGAGATAATTGGATTTCTTCCCAATTATCTCCAGGACAGAGAGGAGGGATTGTGATGTAATTGTGGGAGTGTTTAAAGGTGTATGTATGTGATTGGCTAAGAGCCAATATGTTTCCTAGTTTCCTATTTGGTCCCCTAGGGGAGTGTCCACCAGGTGGGAGACCTGCATAAAAGCCGGGCAGTTAGCCCCAGCAAACCAGATTCTGCTTGACCCTCAAAACGAAGTGTCGTCTCGTCTTTGGGGGGGATTTACTGTATGCTGTTAGAGACTGATTGCCAGCAGTGTAAGCCGCTTGGGTGCTTTTCCTGTTCGTCTGCTAACAGCTATTCGTGTGTCTCCAGTTCGGGAGTTTGGAGTGCTACTTGGTATGCAGTTCGAGAGTTTCGAGTATTCCCTTGGTTGCAGTTCGGGAGTTGGTGAATTCGTGGGTTTGCAGTTCGGGAGATTGGTGCTTGCAGTAGCTGTCGGTGTATCTGGAAAGGGGAATATCGCCTAAACGGTTTTTAACCTCTGGTGAGCAAAACGGTCCTTTACAATTTATTTGAAGAAAAAATATAAAATCTTACATTTAGGCTACTGGAGTGCCATATAGTAGTTAAGAACACAACGCATTTCAACGATACAAATTCGTCTTCCTCAGGTGCATAAAAGAATCTAACAACATACCGGCTATTTAAATCATTAATGGCGCCAAGAATGGATGGTATAGACTCGCCCTTCTAGTCCCATTGACCAATTCCATGATGATTAGTCGGAATGCCACTTCCGGGTTCGTTTTATGCGTTCCAGAGGCCATTTCTATTATGTTCATGCGTTCCACTTCATGCCGTCTTCTGTGTATCGGACTTATAATTCAGGCAGTCTTATTTCCATTGGTCAATTATCGTTGTATAATTAAAGAAACAGTAATTGAATATATCTTTTTTGTATTCTGATATATTTAATTACTGTTTCTTTAATTATACAACGATATTGCAAATAAAGTTTTCAAATTATGCTACAACTACAGTCAGAGAGCTCACAATGCAGAGACACAGGAAACCGTGATACTGCAAGCTTCTGAACAATGAATGCAGAGACCAACTCTCTGTATTCAGCACTGCAAGCCCACCTTTCAATATAGCGACTGCTCCTTACACACACAAAATGCAACCCTATTATTTTTTCACTTTGGGTGGTAGTGGGGCCTCATGTTTGAGTTTTGTCTAAGGCCTCATAAAGTCTAGAGCCGCCTCTGACTGTCAGTGAGTATACGCCAGTGTATGTGTACCAGTGAGAGTGTAAGGAGGCCCTTCTTTGATTCTTGCACTGGGCCCTGTGATTGCTAGTTATGTCCTTGGGCGCAGCCTCTCCACAAGGTCAGTTTACCCATAACCGTACTGTAACCGTTAGTACCCCTATTTATCACTATAATGTCTTAAAGCATAGAATTTAGCAGGACTAATCGTACAGATATCTTTAGCAAAAATATAATATAGTTGGTAAGAGTTTATCTATTTAAATATATAAATAATTGAGAATACAATAAAAATAGGAAACTGGAAGCAATAACATTTTGTCTTTTTAAAATATTGTATTAAATCTCTCTCTCTCTCTCTCTCTATATATATATATGTGTGTATATATATATATATATATATATATAAATGAATATAGACATACAAAAACATACAAAATAATCCATTAACATATCTTAGAGAAGAGTATAAAGAATTACATTAATATATGCTTGCAATATAAAGTATTAGTATAGCATACCCTTCCTGATTGTACAAGTAATCTCTCAATCTATGTCACCTCCAGAGTTGGTCAATAAGTCTCTGTCCAGCATTGGTCGAGCAGGTATATATATATTATAACATTTCTAATTACTACTGGTAATTTTTGGGTTAATTATAAATCTTAGGGTTAAAAGTAGTTCACATATGAAATTAAAGGAAAAACAGCCTTATCAGTCCATTGTCATGACCTAGGCATCTTTAATTTATATGTGGACTAGAAGTAAAATTGACATAAGCAAGGCCTTGAATTGTTGTTGCATTAATCTAGGACAAGATGGCATAAACATATTATGCACTGAATTTGGGTAAGAGGTTATTCATTAAAGAAACATTCTGCAGTTTAAAGAAATACTATTTAGCAATGTTTATTATACCTACAATTGCCTACAGTACCGCAGTGCTCCCAAGATGCACTATTGGGCCCAGCGCAGTGGCAGAATTAAGATGTACTGATGTTAGCGGGAGACGGCATGAAGAACTGAGCGAGATGAGTGTGACAGGGAATCTTAGCGCTAACTGCGCAAACAACCGTGCATCATACAGGCAACGTTAAGATCCTCTGTCAGCTGTCAGTCACATTGAATAGCCAGTGAATAACCTTAAGATAGCTGGTCACCATCTAGAAAATTGATTACTATTTTGGAGTCGAAAACACTTATTTAGAAAACGTACCTTCATTTGGATCAACAGCAGAAGCATGAAGTTATAAAAGGTTAAACTTGAACAAGCTTCAGCATTATTCTACCTGTATTGCTATGTTATACTTTATACATTATATGTTACATTCGTGGTCCGTTTACTTTCATTTTCTTGTCTTAGGTAATAACATTTATTTATTAACAAATAACTCTCTTTTTGTAAAAATTGCAATGTAATAATTGTACACAATATGCTAAAATTATGTATGCAATTATTGCATATGCATAAGTGGGAGTTGCATTTTACATTTAACGTTCAGATGGCTTTTAAACAATTGGTTGCTTAGCACCAACAACACACATGGGGCTTCAGTGGGTGTAATGCAAATAGTAATTCATAATAGCAAGGTCCATAAAAACAAAAAAGTGTTCATTTACACCTAACCATTTTAGCGCTTGAACACAAACCTCAAGTGTATTGTTCATATACTCAAGCTTGTACTTAAAGGAACAGGATTCCAGTAAACATAAATAATGGCAACACAAAAGGAAAGATAATAAATCTGGTCTAGTTGAAATGTATGTAGGAATAAATTTGGAAATATTGGAAATAACAAAGACAGATAAGAGACAAGTAGCAACGTATTGGAAAATAAAGAAAGCATTTATAAACTAATCGGAGTATTGCACATTGAAGGTTTTATTTATTGTATAGCAAAGCACTTTATCTTAATATCGAGTAATGTGTGAAACCTGATGCCACCACTGCTCCTCCTGTGTTTGGTTTCAATGGCAAATAAAACCCCAAAAGATGCAGGAGATCTATTTCCTGCCTCTTTGAAATGGACTCATTTGGGGTTATTATCCTTGTAACTTGTATTCATGATCATTTCATGTTTTAAATGTCTGATTAAGTCTAACTCTTTAAATCTTTCTTGAGTCGTAAAAGTCAAATGGAGAAATGAGTGTCCTTTTTTTATATTTTACGTCAGGGGTGCGCAACTCATGTACTT